CAATGCTGTAGACTCAAATCATTTTGATATTATGGTATTATCATGAAATCTCATCTGCTCTTTCCCAAAAGTTCCATGGTCCCCTTGGCTCAATTTAAAAAGTTGAAAGATACATTTTTGTGCCAAGTTTTCAAAACACACTTTCTGATACTGCTAGCTTCACAGGGATAGGACGATTGCTTAAGGTCATAAATATTTTATTTCTCTTGAATTTTTCATATATTTACAACTCGCATGAATAATAGAAAGTAGCTCATATACACCATTCATAGTTACATTGTGCAATACTTTTTCAGAAATCTGTTATGTATTTGAAAGGTGTGGAGGAGTCTCAAAATAAAAGTCTATTTAAAATAAGCTCTTCCACTACAAATTCTGGCACTGGAAAGAGATATTTTACTCTAATCCTTTTCACAATGGGGTTTGATTTTCCCTATAAATTCTAATTTACATCTCTGTTGAACACATAGCTCAAAAATCAAGTGGTCTGAGTTGTCTGGAGTTTGTTTGAATGGAGTTCATTTTTGTAAGAATAAAATTATGCATTTAAAAGAAAAGCTCAATGAGTGGATGTGAGGAGGCAGAGAGATGGAGGTAGAGGCAGATAAATGGAGTGGTACTAACTTGAGAAGTAAAGGTCAGCCCTTCAGTATTAGCACCCTTTCCCCAGCCTCATTGTAAAATGCTGCCAACTTTCAGTTTCCATAAATAGACACCATCATTAACGTCCAGCAGGTCAGAACTGTGAGAAAGTACTATACTTTTCTTGGCCAACTTTAGCTGTGCCGTGAAATCACTTAAAGTAAATGAGAAAAAACAATAATCATCAAATATAAATGTAAATAAAAGTGTAAATATTTTTGAGGGAAAAGTCTATAACATAAAAGCTTTTTACTCAGTCTATCATTCATGTGTGATGGCAGGAGAAATTCATTTGAAGAATATGTTAGGTCACAAGTCATATGCCAATCATTCATATTTTATCTTAAAATATAGCTCTTTAGCAAAATTTACAAACAACTCATATAGCTCAATATCAAAAAACCAAACAACTCGATCAAAAAATATGCAGAAGACCTAAATAAACATTTCTCCAAAGACATCCAGATGGCCAAGAGGCACATGGAAAGATGCTCAACATCGTTAATTATTAAAGAAATGCAAATCAAAACTACAATGAGATATCACCTCACACCAGTCAGAATGGTCATCATCAAAATGTCTACAAGGGAACCCTCCTACACTGTTGGTGGGAATGTAAATTGGTACAGCCACTGTGGAGAACAGTATGGAGGTTCCTTAAAAACTAAAAATAGAGCTACCCTATGACCCAGCAATCCCACTCTTAGGCATATATCCAGAGAAAACCATAATTCAAAAAGATGCATGCACCCCAATGTTCATTACAGCACTGTTTACAATAGCCAGGACATGGAAACAACGTAAATGTCCATAGACAAAGGAATGGATAAAGAAGATCTGGTACATATATACAATAGAATATTACTCAGCCATAAAAAAGAATGAAATAGTGCCATTTGCAGAGACGTGGATGGACCTAGAGATTGTCATACAGAGTGAAGTAAGTCAGAAAGAAAAACAAATATCAAATAATATCACCTATATGTGGATTCTAGAAAAATGGTACAGATGAACTTATCGGCAAAGCAGAAATACAGTCACAGATGTAAAGAACAAACTTATGGTTACCAAGGGGGGAAGAGGGGTGGGATGAACTGGGAGATTGGGATTGACATATATATAAACTACAAATAATAAATGCTGGAGAGCAATCCCACTCCTGGGCATATATCCAGAGAAAAACGTGATTTGAAAGGTTACATGCACCTCAGTGTTCATTGCAGTACTGTTTACAATAGCCAAGACATGGAAGCAACCTAAATGTCCATCAACAGGTGAATGGATATAGAAGATGTGATACATACATACAATGGAATATTACTCAGCCATTAAAAAGAATGAAATAATGCCATCTGCAGCAACATGGATGGACCTGGAGATTATCATACTAAGTGAAGTAAGTCAGACAGAGAAAGACAAATATTATATGATATTGCTATACGCAAAATCTAAAAAAAAAAGATACAAACGAACTTATTTACAAAACAGAAACAGACTCACAGACTTAGAGAACGAACTTATGGTTACCAAAGGGGAAGGGTGGGGAGGAGGGACAGATTGGGAATTTGGGATTGACATGTACACACTGCTATATTTGAAATAGATAACCAGCAAGGACCTACTGTATAGCACAGGAAACTCTGCTCAATACTCTGTAATAACCTAAATAGGAAAATAATTTTAAAAAGAATAGATACATGTATATGTGTATAACTGAGTCACTTCACTGTACACCTGAAACTAACACAACATTGTTAATCAACTCTACTCCAATATAAAATAAATTTTTTTAAAAATATATATAGCACTTTAAGATACAGTCAGCTACTAGCTGCAGGTTTTCCATAGATGTTTCTCATCAAGTTGAGGAAGTTCCCCTCTATTCCTACTTTGCTGAGAGTTTTATCGTGAACAGGTGTTGGGTATTGTGAAATGCTTTTTCTATGCCAACTGATATGATCAAATGAACTTTATTCTTTACCCTGCTGTTGGTACAATGAATTACAGTGATTGTTTTTTGAATTTTGAACCAGCTTTGCATATGTGGAAGAAATCCCAGTTGGTCATTATGTGTAATTCTTTTAATATGTCATTGCAATCTACTTTTGCTGAGGATTTTTACATCTACGTTCATGAGAAATGTTGGTTTGTAATGTCTTCTGGTTTTGGTATGATGGTACAGCTGGCCTCATAAAATGAGTTAGGAGAGTTCTCTGTACTACTATTTTCTGGAAGAGACTGTGAATTCACCAATGAAACCATCTGCACTTCTTATTTGGGAAGTGTATTAATTATTAACTTATTTAATAGATATAGGACAATTCAGGTTATCTATTTCTCCTAGTGTGTGTTCTGGTAGTTTGTGTCTTTCAAGGAATTGGCCCACTTTAACTAAGTTATCACTTCAGTGGCTATCAAGTAGTTCAAAGCATTTCTTTACATGCTTTTATGCCCATGAAATATGTTGTAATGGCCCTTCTTTAAGTCTTTGTATTGGTAATTTGTGTTCTCCATTTTTCTTGGTTAGCCTGGCTAGAGGTTTGTTAACTTTAATATTCTTTTCTAAGAGTCAGCTTTGAGTTACAGTGATTCTCTTGAACGTTTTTTCTGTTTTCTATTTCATTGATTTCTACTCTCAAGTTTATTACTTCTTGTCTTCAGCTTGCTTTGGCTTAAATTGCTCTTCTTCGTCTAGTTTTCTAAGGTGGAAGCTTAGGTTATTAATTTTGTAACTTTCTTCATTCAAATATATGCATTTAATGACATACATTTTCCTCTAAGCACTGCTTTTGCTGCATCTCAGAAATTTGATATGTTGTATTTTAATTTTCATTTAGTTCAAAATATTTTTCTAATTTATCTTAAGGCTTCTTCTTTAACCCATGGGCTATTTAGAAATGTGTTAATTTCCAAATATTTGGGGGTTTTCTAGTTGTCTTTCTCTCATTGATTTCTAGTTTAACTCCACTGTGATCTAAGAACATATCTTGCAAGATTTCTATCCTTTTAAATTTGTCAAAGTATGTTTTATGGCCAGAATATGATCTATCTAGTGAATGTTCCATGTAAGTTTGAGAAGAATATGTATTCTACTGCTATTGGATGGAGCACCTTGAATTTTAAAACGAAGGAGCATTAAACCTAAACACTATTAAAAGATATTCTATTTAAAAATAATATTGAAATTTATCCTAAACTTCCTAGACACTGGCTCTATGAGTAAAGGCAGAGAAACAGGTAGTACATGTCAAAAAGTGAATATTCAATCTTCCAGGAGATGATTTAACACACACATTTTCAGAAATAGTCACAAATGAATTTCTCTCATACTTTAAATGCTCTGCACGTCATAAAATTTTCCTCTTGCAATTTGTTGCTAACCAGAAACTAAGCATATGTATATACACACACACACGCTTATATAATATACATATGAATTCATATGCAGGGAATAAACCTAATGCAATTTTTCTATGATTATGATTACAGTTGAAATGATTAAAACTTCTGTGCCAGTTTTTTTAAAGAGGTAAGAAAAGGCAATGTTTGTTAAATGTAAAGAAAACATTCCATTTTTAGTCTCCTAAGATATTATTAAAAATAATGTTTCATAAAATCTTCTGAGGGTATTTGAAATTCTGCATTTATATGACACCAGTTTCTAATTTAAACATAATTGGAGAGAACAAAATGAGAGTAAATTACATATAAAAGGGGGTAAAAGCACATGCCACTGACTAATGTTTTCTATAGCAGTCTCTTTGAATATTATAGTCAATAAGACTCCAATCAGAATGTTTGCATTTTGCCAGCCGCTTTCTGGATGACAAAATTGTTCTTTACGTAATTAAACAACATCTACCCAAGAGAATCTACAACAACCAAATAAATAAAGGGAGAAAAGTAACCTGGAAAAGTCAACTAATCAAGCTCTAATCAGGGTAACAAAATTCAATCAACTAATCAACTGTGTTCTAATAGGACATCACCCAAACAATCCCACAAGCTTTGTTTCTAAAGCTCAGTAAGATAGAAGGTGTTGAAACTCCCATTATATTGATTCAAAATTAATAATGCTCTATTATTAAATTAAATCTCTTCCTTATCTCATCTCAATTCCTCTTATAATTTAACTTATAATTTAAGTTAACCAATGAATATTTCAATGTTCTACTTCCATTCAAACAATATGATTGAATAAAACTGATTCTGGACAATTACTAGAATGAATAAAGCAAAAGAGTGGCCACACAGTAAAATTTTGTTTTCAAGTTCAACCAATGGATGCTGTTAAAATAATAATAATATATTTAAATGACAGGCTAATCCTTAAGTATGGTAATTCCCTTGAAAATTACCTTTTGTTGAATCATCCTCTATTGGCTGTTTGAACAACGTAATGTCCTTGAAAGTGCATAGGAACAAAACCACCTTTTCATGTTCATTTCTTATTGGTGCAATTTGCATATAAAACCAAACAGGGGTTCCTGTAAAAGAGAGAAAGGACAACAGAGCGTGACATAGCCACCACGATGATCTCGTCTCCCGCTTTCCTTCCTCCTTCAGCTGCCAACTGCTATGCCAAGAATTAGCACCAAAACAGTAGTATTTTAATTGCTGGAAAGAATCAAAACAACTTTCATTTTATATCAACTACCAGTTGCTCAAAAATTAATGAACATATTTTTCAACCCAAAATATCAAAATCTGAAAGTAAAGCATGGGGTGTCATTTCACAATGCAGTGGAATAAAGGCAGTCTTGCCATTGAAGCAATGCCAGCATCAGCTTTAGATCTGGGTCCCTACACCACTGCTGCTCTCACCACCTCCTTTCCATAGTCTCACCAAGTGTGAGCATTCCTCCTTGTCACTTTGAGAAGTGTTTCCAGTCGACTTCAACATCAATACCTGATGCTCTGATAAGTATTCCTCTTTGAGAAACTTTTGAAATGTTGCTTCTATCTCAAGATTCTCTCATCAGTCAGATAGACTTGTAACTCTGTGGCTCTGACCACATCCCCACATCAGAGAGATACAATGTCAGCAACACAAGAAGCCTGATGTACACAGAGCTATACCTGAAGCCTTTAAGGCAGTGTTAAAGAAAAGAAAAAATGTCCCCAGGCCTTGAAAGTCTCAGGCATCTTCATGAGACACTGCTTCCAACCTCCCTCACTCAAAGCATGAGGCTGGTCTCTGTCACCATGTTCTTCAAACAGTGGCTCCTACAGACTCCAGAGGACACAGAGTTTCAAAGCATTCAAGGTTTAGGATTTGGACAAATTAGAAACTGGCAATGGGTCAAATAATAAATATCTGAAGACACAAGAAATGCCTTCAAAGGAGTAATTACCCATTAAATGATAAAACACTGAGGGAATGTTCCATCAGAATCAAAAAGACACATTTTCCATGATAGTCTTTCCAAGCCACAGGCAGTAAAGCCTCTCCAAATATTCATTCTTAAAGACATAAAGTCTTTTGTCAGTTTGGGATTTGGGGAGTGAAATGTGCAGCTGTTAATAATCTCTAGGTGAGAGTTGATAGCCTGTTAGTGACTTCCAATGAAAACCAATAAGAAGTACCTCCACACCTGTGGCCAAAAATTGTCAGGTAACGATATCACCACAAAGGGGAATTTGCCATTTACCCAAGAACGGGTGACTTTAACTACTGGGTGCTAGAAGTCGGGGAATTCGAGAGAGGAGATTTCTATAAATATTCAGTTCTGACAACCAGGTCCTTTGCAACCCCAGGGGGCCTACAGAAGGACACGGCCTTTTCCAAAATGATTACAGGATGAGACAGGGACCTCAAAAACAATCACACTATCTCCCAGAAAGGCTTGTTCTTTGTTTTCTGCTTCTTATTTTACACAGTGTGTCCAGGAGCTGTGAGTGATGTACACAGTTTGACAAATCACCAGGCCCAGACGCTAGCAGATACATGGCCTATGGCTGTTCCAACACAGTGAGCTTGAGGCAGCAAGGTTATAAACAGAGAGAAAGGGGTACTAAAAATAAGTCATTTTCCAAGGTCTGCTAGAAATCTGAACAGAAAGAGATGTTACAGTTCATACCTTCCTATGAAAACAGCAACTTTTCAAATTTTGGCATTGAGTCAGAGCTGTTTTTAAAATTGTTTTCAGATATCACGGTATACTATTTTCAGGTTTAGTCACAGGCTCAGACTTCTCCAAGTAGGCTCAGTTTTTGCTGAGTGGTTGTTGCTGAGTGGTTGGTGAAATATCCATATTCTGGATTTGGGGTTCAAGGAGACGGGAAGTCTGGGAGGGTTAGGTAGAGAGGCCTGTGGCTGCTGGAAACTCGAGGCAGTGCCCTGGCATTGATTATCTGGAGTTGCCCTAGCTATCACAGTTCTGCCTTTGTGTAAACAGAAAGATCCATTTTCAATCATCATCCCAGAGCCACTGCTTCTTTCTCAACAGTAGAAGCAGTCCACTGTTAATCAGAGCAATGGACCTAAACAACAGAGGCTGCAAACTGAAATGTCAATCATGACACATATTAAATCAGATACCTCAATCTCCCTGTCTGCAGATGGTGTTTAGCTAATTATTTAATGGAAGTATTGGGAGGACTTGGCATTCAGGCATTCCCAGAACAGTTCTCTACAGGCATGTGACTTTTTCTAACATTAAAAAACGTCAAAAGAACACACTTTTTTCAGTTGTTGTTCAAAAGCCTTTAGCTATTTACAAGATTTTTTAAAGCTGCTTTTAAGTATAGTAGAACTGCCTTATAATGCATGGATAATATCTATTCTTCATATTAAAGGAAAAAAAGTCAATGCAGATACTTTCCAGAAGAGACAGGAGTTTTAATCTATAGTGCTATGGGCCATAACTCCTACTGGCTCTAAGCAGACAGCTACATGTGTATAGGTACTGTATAGATCTGAAAAGAACCAGACAGGCCTGAACAAAGGTCAGACAATTATTACAAGCTATTAAAATAAAGCAAACTATCCAAACCACCTTGGAAGGAAACTTTTGGAAATGAAATATTAAAGCCAGGGAGGGAGACGCAAGAGGGAAGAGATATGGGAACATATGTATAACTGATTCACTTTGTTATAAAGCAGAAACTAACACACCATGGTAAAGCAATTATACTCCAATAAAGACGTTAAAAAAAAAAAAAAAAGCTATTGTTAACATGATTTAAAGGATTTAAACAAAACAAAATTTCCACAAAGGTATTTTTGAGAAAATCAGAAACTATGGACTTGGCTTTGAAGCTTTAAAATCTGAAAAAGATTCGTTTATTCTGTTTAAATCCCAGGGTTAAATGACCCTAGTAATATGGAATATTCTTAAATTACTTGCTAAACTCGAGGTACACATTGAAGTCATTTGAGGGATAACAACCCTATATGAAAATGACAGGGGGCATTCCCTGCTGGTCCAGTGGTTAGGACTCTTTACTTCCAAGGCAGGGGGCACAGGTTTGATCCCTGGTTGGGGAACTAAGGTCCCAGAAGACTCGTGGCACAGCAAAAAAAAAAAAAAAAAAAAAAAAAAACAATGAAAGGGAGTTTTGGCATATGGGTCTACTACAGCTTATCAGTATGTATTTGGACCTAGTGGAAAAAAAACCAGAAAGCACCTAGAAACTGGCTTTTCTCTTGTAGAAGACAGAGCTGATCATTCAGAATGGATTGTTTTCTAGTTGGTAAGCCAACGGACATTTGGCTATGATGTCAAAGAGAAATACATTTTCAGCCTTGATTCTAAAATGAACGATAAGATGATAAGATGTTCCTTAAGTAAAACCACTGAAGACCGGTGCTCCCATAACCAGGTGATACTGGTAATGGAACTTCACTACTACTGTGAAGCAATGTCTACGGTTGTTGTTATCTCTATGATGGTCTATTAATAAAAAGAGAAACCTAAATAAAATTCTAAATATTCCATAGAGAACAAATGTTTAAGGTACAATGGAGAGGATAAATTATGTTCCACAAAACCCAACCAGCACTAAACACAGTACAAGTGCTTCCTGTTGAAGCTAGAATGCTTCCTGAACTGGGGAAGAATTTAGTAACCATCAATTTCCACTAAAGATAATAAGTGGCTTTGGTATCATTTAACATTAACACTAAATAAGTTGACTCATCTTATGCAGTGACTGTTCTTTTAAAAAAAAAAACAAAACTCTGTTTGGAAATGCAGCAAAAAAAGAAATAAAATAAGTGACTATTCAAAGAAAACAAATCAGAAAGGAGACGTGTTTGATGAGTGTACTAGTTGGCTTTTTGTTTGGTTGTTTTTTTCCTCCAAACTCCAATGGAGAGTCTCATCAGACTCTCCCATAATTGCCTAAGACCCATATCATGAGCTCTTATGTGACTATATAACAGACAATTGACCACCCACAAATCCCATCATGGAGAACAGCAAACAACAATCAACACAAAGTTACCAGGTGTGAATGGCCCATCCTGAAAGTAATGATTAATTCCACTCAAAAGTCTAGCACAAAAACAGTCTGAGTCTAGCAAACAGCCATACTGGTAAAGATTCACCTCAGGTAGATACCATATACTCACGTCATCTACATATGTGTAGAAAGGTAATCACACATACCCATTGACACCAATCAACTTTCCCTTTAACTGTAAGAAGAAATGAATGAATTTATCTGTCATTTTTAGTTGCTGTCACAACTATAGGATCTTTACCATGAGTATTAGTCACAGAACATTTTGCCACCTGACACAAAAAAAATCACATTCAAAATGCATTATATTTTTCTTTCAGTCCTCAAAAGGTTGCTTTTCGTATTATTTATTAATTTTGCTATCTAATTTTTACAAGTACCTCCTGCCAAGAGAAGCAATAAAAGTTTTATATTCTCTCTACATAATAGCTTAACTACCACTTACCAAGACGTAATATTAATAAAGAGTTGACACACCTTATTGGTAATATAGATACCTACTGTTTTTCTTGTACAAAAGAACTTCAAAGCAGTTTGACTCGTAGTTGTCAAAAGTCTGCCTGACTTTCTCAATGGTTTTCTTGTCAGTCAATTCTCCATACATAAAACTGGAAAAAACACCAAATAATCCATTTCAGTTTTGTGTTCCTTTTCAAATGCTACATAAAATCATATATTTGTCTTTTTTAAATTAAGTATTCGGATTTAGTTACAAAATATAATGTTGCTGCCACAAAATGAAGTGAAATATTTAAACCATGTTTTAACCATGACTGCTAAACTTCCTGCTATAATCTAGCTTTAGAAGTTACTTTGAACATACAGAGAGAGAGAAAGAGAGAGAGAAGCAGTCTTCACTTTACACAAGTCCAATATGCAGCAATTTTAGTTACTATGCTTCAGTTAAATAATACCAGTTTCCCAACAACACAGTTCAAATTTTGGTTTTCATAGTATATTAACTGTGAATGATAGCATGAAGTATAAACTTTGTTGCTAGCTCATCAGTCTACAAGTCACTAGTAAATAACAAGTACACATTACAATTAGTAACAAATCACACCGCTTCTTTTAAAGCCTGTCAGTATTATTGTGCACCTACTACTACTCAGTTCATGCACAGAAAGCAAAGTGTGTAGTTGTGTTGTCTCCTTGTCTCTCAGTGGTAAACTAATATGACATTTTACAAAAACGGATAAACAAAAGCAGGAATTCGCCATCAAAGATTAAAGTCTACCAAAGAAATGTAAAGTGATAATGCTGGAAGTGAAATTCAAACTAAACATAAATGCAGTTATTTCTTCTGTAAGAATAGTGGGAATGTTGACACTAATGTCATTTGAGAGGCTCTAGATATGCAGGTAGAGGAACCTAGTGAGGACAAACTTATCAACATAAATCAGGAAAGGACCTGTTACAAGAAAGACCAAGGTTTCCCAGAGGAAGTCATGCCAGTAAAAAAATCTTCACATTAAAGGAGCCCTAGGAGGTAATTCACGATACTGAAAGTGGAAGGATAAAAGAGTAGAAGTGGATTCAAATTTAAAACGAGTATGACTGTTTGCTAAGAGATTAAAAAAAAATGCTCTCTTCATATTATAAAATATATTACGAGAATGTAAGAATTGTTCAAATGACTTGTGATAGCTTTTTACAAAGAAATGAAACACTTTCATCTCAATGTTTCTAATGTTATAGATCACTAAATAATGTACAAAATAAATATTAGTTTGACTATTATTTTCATTTCCCTGCACTTATAACCAACAGTAAGAGATTGTTTAATGCTTTGACAAACACTGTTAAAGGTCACAGAACAATCATAATTTTTCAATTATTAATATCCTATTACATGGTTTCAGCTTGCATGGTCTTTTTTACACTCCCATACTACAATGAAATGTGAAGACTCCGTATTACACATATACTGCATTGGCATTCTCACTATTTATGAGGATTTTTCTGAAATATGTACAAGTAGAGCCAATGGAGGGAAAATAAAGAAGAGAAATTGAAGGAGACATATGCTATTACTACGACACATACAAAACATAAATTAAAGAGTGATTTTCCACATACCACAAACATTTCCTAACATTTTAAATTATCTATTTTTTCTAAAAGAAACTCACCAATAGTCTGAGAATTTACAAAACAGAACTCAGTCAAGCACTACAAGCCTACAAAACCCTATTCCTGATGCTTTCCCAATCATCAGTTGTGCATCTGGTTTCAGATACCTAGTTCTACTACTTGCTGTAATTGTCCAGACCATTTCTTCCACCAGGAAAAAATGTGTGGCACTTGACTAAGTTTTTGAAGGCTCAAGTATATCTTTGTTATTGCTTTTCTTCGAGTTTTCAATAAATTAGCTTATTAGCCAGAGGTAAATCCAAGTGCGGCGGGGCCTGAAGCTTATACAATTTTAGGGGCCGTCTTTAAGGAAAGGAATGCAAAATTATAAAACAAAATTAGGTACAGAGGCTTGAAAGACATGCACTCAAGTAAAGGCCCCTGAAGGTTAAGATTCTTTATCCTCATGGGAAATCTGTTCCTGAATGTCTCAATCTAGAAAGTTTACAACATGAAAAGCATAGTTTGTTAGCAAGAGCCAGCAAAACTAGCAGGATTCAACCATGAAACCATATCACAGCTAAAAATTACAGAGTAACCTGCTATATTAAAAAATAAATAAAATAAAAATAAATAAATAAAATAAAATTCAAAAATTCCAAAAAAAAAATTACAGAGTAATGACCCATCTTATGGTAACACTAACCTAAGCAACTAGAATTCTGAAAACTAAGAAAGTAGATGAGGCCAACCAAAGGCTGCCCAATCTGTGGCCTGCATTTTCAATACAATACTTTTCTCTTTTATAAAAAAGGAATTTTTAATTGTCATTATGATAGTAAAATAAGCAAGAGAATATCAGAATAGGATGACAGACTCTAACTCCATAATTCTACAGCCAGACTAACACATGAAGCTTCAGAGGGCATTGAAAAGCCACTGTTCCTGTCAAAGCCTGAGTTTCAGCTCATGCGAGTTTTATGAAAATCTCCTGAGGGCATTATAATTAAATTAGAATTCCTCAGTTAAAGTGCACAAAGTCACCCTCCTTTCCTCCCCACAAATAAAACACTATTTAATACTGTTAATATTTTTTACAGACAAGTAAACTTTTTTATTGACTGTTATTTTTAACCTAAAGACACTAATAAAGAGAAAACATTAAAAATACAAAAAATAATAATAATAAGGGTAATTAAACTAAATAAATGTTTGTGGTCTTAAAAAAAAGAGAAAGTATTTACTCCTATTACTAAATGTCAGAGTCAATAGTTCAGTAAACCAAAACACAATATTCATAATTGGCCAACAGAAAAACATAAAAAAGAAATCATCTATAATATAACAAGCAACTAGGATAAAAATGGTGAAAATTTAACTCGAATAGGATTAAAAATGTTACAACTCAAATTTAAAACAAAGAAACTGTCTTAGAAATTGATGTAATAATACCACTTAAGAAGAAATACAACACAAGTCTGATTCAGCTAAAATGCTGAAGAGAAGGTGAAAACAAGCAATTTCTCAAACAAACTCTGAAAATTCTATAACCCATTCTTTAGCCCTCCCAATGCTAAAATAGACTGTCCTAAGAAAATAGGATCATTTTAAGAAAAAAATCCCAGCTTATTATACTCTGAATAATTTTTCAAAAATAGGTTTTATTTCTTACGCAGTTTCACTCATATTTTTATTTTAAGTTTTAAAAGTACGTATTTCCAGAGACAGAACACATATTTGAAGTGGTAAAATGCAGCAGTTACATAACAAAAGATATTTCAAAATGACCTGAAAGAATGTCTGAAATGTATTATTCAATCTTCCAAAGCAAGTGTTCTGGAGATTAATTCAAACTTTGAAAGTGTTTCCACCCGAAGTTGTCCAAACCAAAATGACTAAATCAATGCTTCTGCATATTTTACGTGTATGGCACATTTGCTTACTTGCTCGGCACTTTTTATGTGTAAATGTTGAATTTCTTTACCGAGGTTTCCTGCAGCCTGATTGCAGATGGCTGAAGCTCAATGCAGTCTTTGAATGGTTAATGGAATTTGAAGGAAACCAAGATTTAGAAATGATAATCATCAGACTTTAGAAACTATATATCTATATAATAATCTTAAATACTTTTTATGTCTCTTATTGAATATCCTCCAGGAATATATAATGGGAATACTAAAAAATTACAGAACTTCAAATTACTCTCTTAGATAGCCAAGCTCCCCTTCAGTAATAATAAATGACTTCTACAACTTCACTGTTATCTTATTGGAAGGAAAATAAAATTAGACGCACAGAAGCAATCTATCCCTGCTATGATATGGAGCAGCCACAATATAACAGAGGACCACTGCACTTAGAGGACCACTTACAATCTGTAAGGCTCATGGCCAAGTCGTATAACTTCTCTGACTCTTAGTTGCCTCATCAGTAAAATGATGGTAATGTTAATATAACTCAGAGGGTGGGGATTAAAAGGATAATGCACATGAAGTTGCAAATTATAATGTGCTGTACAATGACTTATTACTGGAATGCTTCTTATGGGTGGGGTTAGAAGCCCCTCCAGCCCAACCCTACTCCTTTGCTCCTCTACAATTCTAGGGCAAGGGTTGGGCCATGCCTGCTAATGGGCAGGGTCCCTGTGTCTTAAAGGGATACACACATCATTTTGTGTGTCTTCTTTCTTTGTGAACCCATGACATTGAGGCATAAATTCACCCAGGGCCTGCTGCTGGATAATCTGGCCACTTACCCTGCCACACAACTAACTTGTGGGAAGACTTGATCTTGGGAGTAAGGGAGATTTCCTGAGGCCTGGCTTGGGCCATATCCAGCTTGCCTGAGCATTTGGCAGTATATCTTTCCTGTATATCTTACCCTAGGAAACTTCTAGGACTAAGTGGTTTGGTTTATAGCAAGATTTACTTATTTTTGGATCCCTTGTTTTGCCATCAAAATCTCACAAACCAGCCTCATTATAACACCTGACAGTAAGTATGGCTTTAATTTGACAGACTTCCAAAGGAGACAGGAATCTTACAAACTGAAAAATTATATAATCTAATCATGAGTGCTGCCAATCTTTATCTGCTAATGGTCAACAATGTTCCTGGACTAATAAGCACACAAACATTCAGTCAACACTGAATGTTTCAACACTTTCGCTCATTGTGAAGCAGAGCTCTCGGCCAAATGGAACCAGACTGACTGACATCCATCATGTGTAATGTTCTCTTGTTGACTGAGGTAACCCTGCGTTAATAAAACTACCTGTGAAAATACATCCAATAAAGTGGCTCTTAATATCTCTGCCTCATTGTCTAATTTGATAGTTTGGTTAAGAATTATTAATGGGCCTTCCAAAAAAACAAAATGTATTTGAAAGCATCTATCTACTCCAATCTTCCCTACCTATCTGATTCCTCTTCTCACCCTTTTATCTTGAAAAACAAAAATAAATAAATGAAAAGTAAATTTTAAAAGAAGTAGAACAGGTTTTTAAAAGGTTCAGGCTAATCAAGGGTAAAATGCT